CTTCTTAGAAGAAAAGAAAATATTCTGATGAATGTGGAATATGAATTTCCATTCACAACAGCCCAGTCCTCATTCTTTTTTGCGAAACAGAAGAGTGAAATCTTCGTTATTATTGCAGCATTTAGAAACCATTCCAATTAATTCCAATTAAAACAAAAATTAAAGGGTGGAATATTACGGGTTTCGAATGGGATATTAGTCCCAAAACGACATTTTGACTATAAACGACATATCACTTTTCAAATTGTTGCCACCAAGTATTATCTATCTGTGTTATATTTAAAAAAATAAATAATGAAGAATCTGCATGTACGTTCCTCATATTATGAAAGAACAACGCTACCTAGAGCCATCAAATTTTGAATAACGTAGTCCTCCATCTGAAAATGGGCACCTGAAAGCCTGAATTTTGAATTTCGAATTTGTTTTATTATCTATTTCATATTCGTAAAACTTTAACGAGTTTTTAGATTAACAAAATCAACAATTTCGAAGCGAGCAGCGGCAACACTGTATGGGAAAAAAACATTTTTATCTCCAGCGTGCGAGATTGGCTGTCGGGAATTCTGAAGATACGCTGTTTTCAAATATTTTGTGATTTTGCTGTTGAATCGAATTTTGTGTGGTTTAAGCGCCAAGAAAATCGTATTTAATAAATAATGTAAGCACACGAAACGTTAATAATAAAATGACAGAAAAAGTTTCGTAAAACCATCTTAGTAAGGAAACCGTACATTGGAAAAAAAAAAAAAAAAAAAAAAAAAAAAAAAAAAACTCAAAATTGTATGCCAACATTTAACGCTGAATCTGGAATGCTAAACATGCTATGCTGCTTTTAAAATGTTTCTAATTTTGCTGACGAATTGTATATGGAGCAAGTGCGAAGTAAATGTGGCTTAATAATACAGTTAAAAAGACAAAGAAAAAAATGGTTAGCAGGAGTGCTCATAACAGCAAACTTGTGTAGACTGCGACCTCAGCGAGAGCGTAAAAAAGCCTTAACAAACCCTTCGAAGAGACCGTTAAAATCTGAAACCTTTCAGATTTTCTTCCTAAAATACAAATTTCAGAATAAAGTTCAGATACTGCAATACTTCATCAAACTTTCCTCAGAAGTGTGGTCCGTGCCGCTGGTTGTAAGAAAAGTTTTCACAGTAAAAAAAAAAAAAATCATTTAAGAAGTATCTAATATCCAGTTCACCAGTTCTTCCATTGGTCACCAATTCCAGTTCACCAATTCTTCCATTGGTGAACTGGATTTTCTAGACGCATTTCACATTAAAAAAAAAAAAAAAACTTTCTGTTTTAGTTAACGACCCTAATTCCAATCCATCTTTGCATTCAGCCTTTAAAGAAATTATGTTTTAGTTTTGGTTTCATCAACAGATGGCGCCAGTAGCTTTTCTCCTGTCCAGGTTTTCTTATCTTATCTAATCATTATATCCTATCTCGTTCATTTGCGCTTTTGCAGCTGAGGATGATGGTTCCGTAAAATCATCGAAACTAGTCCTGTGAAAATTTGAAAATATAACGCTGATTTTTGCTGTTTGAATTCTAAATTAATAAAAAGTATCTAATATCTACAAATGTATGTTTTGTATTTTAAGATATCGTTCTCTACTGTTTCCGAAACTGCAACTGAAGCAATGAAACAGGCTTCTACTATGTCATCAATGGTCCTAAGGGTAAATAAACCATCCAAAAAAAAAAAAAAGTAGTCTGAAAGAGTTCAGATTTTAACGATCGCTCAAAAAGGCCTTAATATGGTTTATCAGGAGACATTATTGATAGAGATGGCTCAGGTGGAATTGAGAAACTTTCTGCTGATAAATTCTTTCTTAGATAAATCCGCATTTAGACTAACATGGGAACGTTCTATATCTTCTGTAATCTTCAATATATTCCGCATGTTTTATATCTTTTGCATAAGTGTAACAATACATACTTTAATTCCATAAAAATGACATTTAGTTCGAATTAATGAGACACTTTTAATATTATTTCCAGCACAAATTTTTTTTGGGGGGGGCCTTTAGATTATTTGGAATCAACCGAAGGTAGAAACTCTAATTTGAAATGTAAAAATTATGTTTTTAATTGTTTTAACTGTATTTGGTGTTTTATATTTTTCAATTTTTGATTAAACCATTTTGACGTTTTATGTATTTTTTGCCTTGGCGCGAAGTGGCAACTAAATTAATTGAATGAGGAAAGTATCTCTAATAAAATTCGAGGAAATACGTTTAAATGAAATGCAAAAAATGCGTATAATTTAATATTCCGTACAAGAATGTCATGTGGTGTACACGTCGTGGTTTGCTGTTTTGGGTACTTTTAAATGGTCAACTAAAAGAAAAATCCTGCAGTTTATTGACTTCTAATCCTTTACCCTACAATTTAGCAAATTTTTATGATCTATTTTAATTTTAACCGGCGACTTTACTTCAGGTTAAAAAATTTATTCGACAACAATATCAGAATGATAACATTGACTCTAATCACATGAAGGAGCTTGTACTGTATTACGTTTTTAAGTTAAAAATACTTTTTCAGGGACCAGTATCTGAAATCTTTTTCTTGACTTTATTTTCAGCAACCTAAGCAACCTTAGACCAATGTTATATGAGCGTTAAAATAAAAAAGGCTGTATAGTAATCTTACCTGCAATATGTGCTATAAAATTAAAAAAATAACTACATTCCTTTTCCGACATAATATTTAACTTCCGGGGAAATACATCTTCGAATTCTATGGTTCAAAAATTTGCCTTGACTTAAATAGCTTTTTTCAGAAACTTGTAGCCTGGACATCGGCCCTCGGCTATCTTTTTTCTTTTCTTTCCACTCGTAATATCAAGGTACTCTGAGCAAAAAAATAAGGAGGAAGTTCTATATCTCCCATTCTACTGGGCCGATTTAGGAAATTCAACTTGCGTTTTTCATGTCTCGAAAGCGCGACTTGAGATATGTATTAGATTTATATACAGCATTGTTCTAATATAGGTATTTTGACACAAAATCGGGCTTTCCGGAAATGACTTGCTAATGTTTTTCCATATTTCGATTCTATGACTTAAATTACACCAAACTGCCAAGTTTTGTAAAAATCGCACAAGTAATTTTTAAAAAAATTAGCTCTCAAATTTTTAGCTCCTCAATGTTAATTGAGTTTGGTATACTATATTTATTTGGTGTTTCGTTTTTTATTAAACTCATTTCATTCTTCCTTTCACATTTCGAAATTTATGTTCATTCCAAACAAAATTTTTCCATTTTTTGATGATTTATTTTTAAAATTTGTTTTTTAAAATAATTTTTATAAATTTTTCGAAAAAATTTTGAATTATAATCTATAAAATTTTTACTATCATCTTTTAACGAAGATGTATTTCTAAGTACACCTGCAAAAAACTACAGTTTTTCATTCAAAATTTCCAAGATATATGTGAATTTATATATTGGCGAGTTTTGAAATTTAGCGTATTTGTTAAAAGCGATAATACCATCAAATGTGGTTTAGGCACTTTTTTTTAAACTGAATTGAAAGCAGACTTTTTCCGGTCCTGCACAATGGAAGGGAAAGGAAAATAAGTTGCCATATATTAAGAAGTTCGCCAAGTGAATAATTCTTGGTGCAAACTGGAAAAAAATTGCCAAGATAAAGTTTTGAATTTCTCCGTAAATTTCGCACCAAATTTTACAAAATTTAATATTTAGGCAAAATTTGAGTCGTAGAATCGAAATATGGAAAACAATTGGTATGTTATTTCAGAAAAAGTCCGATTTCATGTCGAAATACCTGTGTTAGAATAGTGCTATATATAAATCTAATACATATCCTAAGTCGCGCTTTCGAGACATGAAAAACGCAAGTTGAATTTTGTCAAAAGGCCCAATAGAACGGGAGATACAGAACTGTTTTTTTTTAGTCCAAAGGGGCTATTGTTTTCGTTTTGCGATTCTGCGTCAGAACTCTATAAACGGCGTATCACTTTTCAAATCGTCGCCACCAAATTCTATCGTCCTGTATTATATTTGAATAACTTAAACAATGAAAAATCTGCATAAATGTATGTATGCAGTCCCGGGTTCAGAGACCCAGGGCCCCTACGCATTTTGATATTTGGGCCCGCCCCCACCATCTCGAAACTTATTTGGAAATTTAGCAAATTAAATGCACTAGAACAAAACATATAATTTTTAATCGACTTTAATAAACATCAGAATTCAGAATAATACAGTCTACGTTACTATAGTTACGTTATTCTATAAAATTTATAGAATTATACGACGAACTTCGCAGTTCTGTAATTAGTCTATTTATAATGACGATAAAAATGGTAACTTTGAATCTGTCTCTGGCAGAAAGTTCAGTCTCTTTTCCTTTTACTTCGTCAAACTGGACTTTACGCTTACGCTTCTTCTGCATGTCATATGCATAGCTATTTTCATCGGATTTTTCAATAACTTTCAACTCATTATGATAAAAGTTTCCTTAAGTGTTCTAAGTATGTTACCAAAGACTGATACAGTTCAACGATCGTACCCAGGTCAATGTTAACAGATTGGTGCGATTTACTTTGTTGAACCTTTCCAAGAAGTGATTTCAGAGAAATAACAAAAAGCAAGTTTCCATCGAGTCTAATGAATTCAGAAGACTAAAGCATCAGAGGGCGTAAATGGTTTTTCATTTGCATCATTGTCAATTATCTGAAGAGCTGCCATCATCTCATCCCAGGAGCAACATAGACTTCGGCAGGCGTCAGCTCGATCAGATCATCTTGTCTGAGAAAGTCTTTTCACGAATGTTGAATTTGACTTCAGTTTCGACAGCAAATTTTCCCATCTGTGTGTTGATGCCGAAAAAAAATTATACAATGGCTGCAAAATACAGAAGAAAGATACGTCAGCTTGACAAGGTTCGGCCGCACAGGATTCAGCAAGATTCAGTGAGTGAGCAAGCAGAACAGGGAACGAAATATATCAAAGAGTTCACTTGTTTTACTCTCTCTTGAAGACCAGAATATACACCCGACATATTGCTAGCATTGTCGTAAGACTGCCCCGGCAGTTGGCGATATACAAGTCGTGATTTTTCAATGTCTCTAGAGCGACTTTAGCCAGGTCTTCCGCTTTATGGCCACAATTTGGAATGAATTTCAAAAATCGTTCGACAGGACATCCGTCTTCAGAGACATATCTCACTATGAAAGAAAGTTGATCTACATGAGAAATGTCCGGAGTAGAGTCAACACAGATAGAGAAATATTTAGCATATTTTATCTCAGTCACGATTGTATTTATTACCTTTTCTGCCATTTCATCGCATATTTTGGACGAAAGATATGATGTTGTGCCACTTCCTTTGTTACCATGGCGTTTTATGTGTAAGTCCTGAAAAGGAACGAACTCAGCCAAAAGTTCTAGGGTCATAACATAGCTCCCACTGTTGTTTGATCCAAATCTCTCATGGCAACCTCTAAACGGCAATCCGCGTGCAGAAAGTGACTTCGCAACAGCCGCAATGCGCCTCAAAACCTCATGCCAGTATTTTATTTCTTCTTCCGTTTGAAGAACAAGACTTGTCAACTCTACCTCCAGCATCCCTCATAGCTAATAGTGTTGCAAGTGCTGACCTGTATTTGTCGGAATTCTCATATTCTTTCATTCTTTGAACTGCGTTTTTCAAGTCCTTGTATCCTTCATTAGCTAGCGACCCCAATTTACCAAACATCTTACAAAGAGGCGCAAAACACTGCACCCTTGCTCTTCGAAAATATGAGCCAAGGTCAAGGTCGTGTTTCACCATTGCTTAATGTTCAGCTAAAAAGTGACAGCGACAGATACCTGGTTTTATCTGCGTATTGACGCCTTGAAGAAGAAAATTCGGCATCAATATTTTGTTTCACGCCATTTTGAACAAGGTATTCCAATGTAACTTCCTCTAGCATCCACTCAGCAGGATCGTCACTTTAAAGAAGATTCAGGATTTTCTAAAGAATGTTTTTTTGTAGCTGTAACTAGGTTTTCAGAAATAATGTTTGTTGGAGTTGCCTGTTGACGGTCATCATCAGTATCATTGCAACTGCCACTGGCTAATACACTAGTACTACTAATACTAGGACCAGAGCCAGAACTAGGTCTAGACGTAGACGAGACGAAAAATGTGTTTAACTTAGGAACATTACAAACAGGCTCTTTTTTTTTTTTTTTTTTTTGAATTTTTCTTTATTTTGTTTTCTTTTCTCAAACCCGCTTAGTTTTCATTGAAGTCAGACATCGCGACATCGATAATTTCTATAACGGATATAAAAGGAAAGGGTCATTAAACAATAGGAACCGCTCTTCCGTTGTCGTGTTGTATGCGAGCTGCGAGCAAGATGAACGACCGTATCTCACCCATCCACACCAAGACTAGAGACACGAGAGTAAAAAATTATAATCCTAAGTAGGCGGATCTCGCGTACGCGTACATAATGCAGTCGGACGAAATTTGCTCTCTGCGTAATGTTTGCAGCTTGACAGTTGGCGCAGAACACGGCTTACAAGAGAGAGAGAGGAAACGTGTCAGGACTTGTATGTCTTTTGACTTGCTTTGGAAATATAACGTATGCTGAATAGGAACAGAAAGCTTACTAAAGCTATGTTCCAGTATGTGTGGAATAGACAACACAAGCAGGAAGGATATACTGAACCCTTTATTCTCTAGTACTTTACAGGTGCTCCCGTACTTTGGGATACAGAGACCAACCACTTGTGGTCTTGAACGTAAAAATATAAAACTACTAACTAAAACTCTAAATAAAAGCTAACTTTGAATTAGTAAACAAATGCCTAACACTAAGACTGGCCTTTTTAAAAGGTTACGTAGGTAGTACGCAAGCTGCTGAAATTACAATACATTTTAAATATCAAGAGGACTAAACCTCTGGCCTTAAAGGCAAGCAGCAACTGATTGAAAACACGTAAGAATGCAGTGGCAAGGCAGATCACTACCTCTCTCTCTCTCTCTAACTCTTGGCAAAAAGCCACAACTTAAATACTTGGGCGTTAGCAAATACAATTTGCATAACAAGTTAAAGCATTTAACTCTGGCCGGAAGTGGAAAATAAAAAAGTATAGTAAAGTTAAAAAAAAAAAAAAAAGTTAGTAAAATTTAAGATTCTTACAAACGAAGAGGCCTAATTCTAGCTTTGTTGTTGCGCACAAGGCTGTAAGTTATATTATGAGCGCCCAGTTTTGGCAAAATGTAGTAAAAATATTTATTATAATATTATTTTCGATAAAGCCTTTTCATAATACAAGCCAGGCCTTTGAGCTTATGTAAAGATTCCGCCACCGGAGCCCCTAGGCTGGGGCCTTGCAGGCCTAGGCAGAAATCCCGCACTCGATGTATGTTTCTCACATTGTGATAAAACAACGGTACATAGAACCATCCAATTTTGAATGACGTAATCTTACTGTGAGTATGGGCATCTGAAAGCCCAGATTTGAAATTTGGAATTTGTTTTATTATCGATTTCATATTTTGTAAAACTTTAACGAATTTTTGATTAACAAACTCAACGATTTCAAAACGAGTAATGGCAACATTCTACGGGGGAAAAAAATAAAATAAAATAAAATAAAAATAAAAATAAGAAATAAAAAAAAAAAACTTTTATTTCCAGCGCGCGGAGCTGTGTATCGGAAATTCTAAAGATAGGTTCATTTTAAAATTATTTTGCAATATTGTTGTTGAACTGAATTTTACGGTTTCAGTGCGAAGAACATGGTATTTAACATTCAAAGGTAACACACAAAACGTTAAAAAAACGCCACTTTGATGTAATTTAAAATCTAAAAAACCTTTCAGGTTTTTTTTTTTTTTTTTTTTTTTTTTTTTTTTGCAGTGTATATATTTTTCTGAAAATTGGATTTTGTTCATGACCATCTAAGAGAAATAAAAGGAAAGCTACAGATTATTACAAATATCATGATAGCAGCTGTCACGTAAACGCATTAAAATCAATCTTTGTATTGATAACATAAACTGTAATAAACTGTCTGATGAGTAAATAAATAATGTGATCAGATATAAACAACAGCGGTCACAGTAAGTAGTTCACACTGTTGCTATCATCTGAGGCCTGCGAGCAATGAAGTATTAACATTACGGAAATAACCAAACGTGATGAAATGAAATAAGTGTAGTAAGTCAGTGGTCGCAAATTGGCAGGCCGCGAGCCGCATTCGTACCCCGAAGTAATTGTATGCGGCTCGCGAATACATTTCAATTACATACTTCTTGAAAACACGGTGTTGCAAATTTTTCTCAAGATTTTAGTTATTTGAAGTCCGAAATTACATGATTCTCACTAACATTAAAAAAAAACCTGATGTTTACTTCACATAATTTCCTTGCACGGAGTATTAAATTAGACGCACTTTTGCTGCATTTCATTTCAACGTATTTCCTCAAATTTCATTATAGATATAGCTCTTATTCAATTAATTCAATTCTCACTTCGCGGTAAGACAAAAACGCCAAATACAGTTAAAACAATTAAAAAAACAATTTTTACAATTAAAATTAGAGTTTCTACACAATAACAATAATTCAGCCAGCGAGCAAGAAGGCAGATTTTTCGGTTCACAAAACTGAAAGTTTACTTTTAGTTCCACTCGGCGGGAAGGCACTGAAGGGGAAGAAACGGACTTAATTCACTATTCTACTAAGTTTTAAATGTAAACAAATATGGCAGCTATAGGAAAAAAATTAGGCTTAGCCGCACTTAAGCAACTTTTAAATTGTTGATAATTCTACAATTATTGTATGTAGATTAACTAAAGGCATAAAAACTTTAATCGGAAGACAAGAACAGCATAATTCAATCATTTTTAAAACAAAAAATGCACAATTTACTAACATATAAAAAATAATAATAGTAATAATAATAAATCTGAGCTCACAAGAGAGCACTGTATATTTCCCACATCTCCTGCTTTCCCCCCCAAAAAACTTAATGACTCTACAGTGGCGTCTGAACTAAAAGGTGCGGGATGATGAATTCTTCACCGCTCAGATTTGGAGATTGGGTTCCCTAATCTCCAATCGCCCTTTAAAAGGGAGAATATATAATTCATTTTCTCTCTCCTTTCGTCATTCCTTTGTGGTGTAACGGTATAAGGTATTTCTCCCGCCTTCTTAGCATGCCTTCGTGATGTAATGCTCAGCACGCTCGACGCGAATTTGAGAGGTCCATGGTTCGAGTCCCAGCTAGGACACTGCTTATTTTTCATAGCTCCTGCTTTCGAAAAAATAACCTAATACCTCTACAGTGGCGCCCGAACTAAAAGGTGGTGAATGATGATTTTTCACCACCAGGATTTGGCGATTGGGTCCACTAAAACCACAGTCGCCCTCAAAAAGGGGGAGTCTCCAGCCTTCTTAGCATGCCTTCGTGGTATAGTGGTCAGCACGCTCGACGCGAATTCGCGAGAGGTCTGCTTTTCGAGTCCCAGCGAGGGCATTGCTCATTTTTCATATCTCCTGCTTTCCAAAAATAACCTAATGACTCTACAACGGTAGCACACTTGGCGCGTATTCGAGTCCTACATAGGGTACTGCTAATTTTTCATATACTCCTGCTTCAAAATATCTACTACAAGTTAAATTTTAGTTTTGTAAACAGTGGAAGTATAAACAAGCAGATTTTTTTTAATGCACTGCTGTAATAAGAGTTACTGACACAGTAGGTATTTTCGTAAAATGTTTTGAACAAAGTAAGATGTTTCTGACACCAAATATTGTGTACGTGATATCAAATCTCTTATTTTTCTTTTCTTTTTCTTATTTAGACTAATAATCTGAGTTTTCTGTTCTATAGTTTCATAAATTAGTGTTTTAGTTTACGCAAACAGTATACTGATCGATGTATACTCACTATCTAGTATCTAAGGATACATCGCGTCCATCAACGACTCTGCGAGCGTTACCGGAAACTTAAGAAACTCAGCGTTTCTTTTCTTTCCTGTGAGCATTAAGCAACTCTAAATCTATCCTGTGTGGCATCGTTGGCGATGTATCGCCAGTTGCCGGTTAGTATGTAAGGAGTAATTTATGTACTAAACGCGTCTTGTGTTTGGTAGATAGAATTGATTACGGTAAAGCAACATGTCTCGGCAATGATTATCAGCTGGTGTATCATGAAAATGTTTAAAGATCATTTATTCAATTATTTTTTAAAGAAGTTCAAAGCACAATGATTTTACATATCAGATTTAATAAATATTCAATTAATCTATATTTTACGCTACCTCTTGGATTATCGCCAAGTTCTTGTTTTATTTATCGCCAAACTGTTATTTCATTTATGGTAACCTGAGTATTTTGTTGAATGTTATGGAAACCCTATCGTGACGTGATTGGTTGTAATCCGTCATCGCGGTGATTTTGATTTCTCAGAGCTTATTTCTGCGTTGGATGTTGCTTATTTTGTGCTGTACATCGTGAAATAATTGTCTGTGGTAAGATTAATCTGAAGTTTCTGTACGATTTGGAATGAACTGTGTAGGGTTTATATTTATTTTAACTAACATTTATTTTAAGTTTAAATTATCTT